TATATATATATATACATACATACATATACATACACAGTTTGGCGCAGTTGCTGATATTCATGGTCAAAAGCTACGATTAAATTTTAATAGCTTGTAATGTACATCAATGAGATATTTATAACAGTACCACAGACAATTTACATAAAATGCATATGAATATCAGTTGTCACTCTATATCTCCCAATAATATGTCAGTAAAATTATGTGATTCTCTACACATATGGTTACTTCACTAGCACACCTGCGTGAATTCATGGAGAGCTGACTTCATACATCCACCAATCATTACCTTGATAAATGGGAAAACAAAGTAACTTGAAAAAGTAAATCAGATCTTTTGTTGTAAATGTAAAAGTAATATGTTAATTTACTAGGTACTTGGAAAAAGTAATCTTATTACGTAACTATATACAAAATGGACTTGTATAAGCTGAATCCCATCATACCTGTATGGCGATGGTTAGGCAGGATAACTGGAAGTGTTTCTCAATCACGCTGGCTATTTTCTGTGTGGTCATGAACAGATCTGCCACCTCATCAGGGTGAAGATCTCAAAATCTCTAGACAATGCGAAGAGGACAAACTAGAACATCTGTAGGAGGAGTTTGTCAAGGGAAAAACATTGGAATTGAGAAAAATGCAACTATGTTGACAAAACATGACCCTCTGAAAGCTTATTGGTATATGACAACTTGAACATTACGGGTTACGTACAATTCAAGCTCAAATCATTAACATCTGTGACATGCTGTTGAATAACAGAGTATGAAAAAAATGAGCTTCACATTTCTGCTTTTATCTGCAATTCTTCTGATAATCTGCCAGAATTTCTTGCCCTTGGTTTTTCCTTGAGAAGTCATTACTTTAATTAAGTAAATGTTAATTGAACAGTCTTTAAACACTAGTTGCATTTACAATAAGACAGAACATTCCTCTAGAGCTTTTATAATAAATTCACCTTTAACCAACAAAGTGATTTCAATAGTTATACAATGGAAAGGTATTGCAGAATTCAAGTAGAATACAACTCTTACCACACCAGAGATGAAGACAAACATTACAGAGTGGCCAATATCACCTAACTTAATCTGGACGAATGGAAAACTCTATATTAACCACAGGAAGACAAAACAGGGACAGGCTGAACATATGAATGAAGAAAGGAGCTGCAGAACCTGATTTTTTTTTCCTGTCCCTGCCCTGAATACTAATAACATGAGATCTACAGTACACACACACACACACACACTGGTGTAAACCCACACACAAACCCACATCCTTCTACACAAGCAAAATAGAGCAGACCCTCCGTGCCAGACAAATTATTGGAATATCAATGGTTTGATGTGGGAGAGATAGGCCCAATTTGAATTGGAAATAGATGAATGAATCTGATAGGCATCAGGACTCAAAAGAGAAAGCTCAGAGAGAAGAGTCCTCCTTCACAATCGCCCTGTTTGACTCCAAACAGCTTTTATTAAAAAAGATTCATAACGTCTCATATCACACGACTCATTTTCTGATTGTTGTTTTCTTCTTGCCAAACACTTCTTCTATTCTATTCTTCCTGTCCTTCGCGCTTCATAACAAATCACTAAGTACCATAAATGCAAACGAGTGGAGTGATACAAAGAATTAAATGCCTCTTGATACTCTTAGCCAAGAAGATTAAACATTACTTTTAGTTAGTTATTTCCCAGCTAAGTCAGCTGAATCGAAATAAAAAAATCTGTCAGTACATATAAAATATAAAATATTATAAAATGATTACCACACAATACAAATCTATATGAATATGGATCTGTATGAAATCTATATGAATCTATATTAATATAGCCCCAGTGCACAAAGCAAGGTCCGTAAAGACATGGTTGGATGAGTTTGGTAAGAACTTGACTGGCCCACACAGAGCCCTGACCTCAACCCCACTGAACACTTTTGGGATGAACTGGAATAGAGATTGCAAGCCAGGCCTTCTCGTCCAACATCTGTGCCTGACCTCACAAACGTACTGGATGAATGGGCAAAAATTCCCACAGAAACACTCCAAAATCTTGTGGAAAGGCTTCCCAGAAGATTAGAAGCTGTTATAGCTGCAAATAAATGAGCAAATCTATATTGATGCATAAATGTGCATTTATAATGCAATGTCATTATGCAATGTCTGCTGGTAAAATAGTCAGGTGTCCATATAGTATATCTCCAGTATGAAGACGTTCACTCATACTTTATAACATAAATAATAAATGGTTACTTTTTTTCTGAAATACATAATACACAGAACAGTTTTGACATTATATGGATTTGTTATGTTGCTAAGGGTGTTGAGTAGTGGTACACAGATCTGTTTGGTGAAGCGGTCAGAGCCATGCTTCATTGTAAGTAAATAAAACACAGCTATTGACCAATTAGTACCAAGGGCCAGAACTATATGTTTTAGAATTCCATTTAATTCCAACAGCTTTTGTGTCTTCCAGAGGGCGCAAATTCTGTAAAGTCAGTGAGGTCACTAAACAATTTGTTCAAAGAAGTCCGACAATTCATAAATTCTTTGAAATGGTGAATGGAAAAACAATCAAAGCCCATACCTATTGTAGGAAACACGGGGGTTGCAGGTGGTACGCTAACTCATAAGAGTAGACTTCCAAAGACTGAAAAACATCTTGCCTCTCTCTCTCTCTCTCTCTCTCTCTCTCTCTCTCTCTCTCTCTCTCTCTCTCTCTCTCTCTCTCTCTCTCTCTCTCTCTCTCTCTCTCTCTCTCTCTCTCTCTCTCTCTCTCTCTCTCTCTCTCTCTCTCTCTCTCTCTCTCTCTCTC